AGGAAAAAAAAACAACAACTAATCTAGAAAACTGTGCCATAGAGTTGCAAAATTAAATTTTAAATTAAGATCAAGTACATTGTCAAAGCAATAAAGACACAAACAACCAAAAAAACCCTACTGCTTTGGGTTGCTCCAACACGCAGCATTTTGACATCGTAGCTCTCAAATGGAGAATTGAGGGTGGAAAAAATCACCTTTCAGAGCAGGTAACAAAATAACGTTTAAAAAAATACATATAGGCTTAAGGTCTGTTTGTTGCATAATCTTTATAGTATTTAAATTAAAATAACAAAAATCCAAGTTCCCACAGAATTAGAGCCAGGACCTAATACAAATTGTGCATCTGAGAACAGCGTACTGAGCAAAGCTGAACGCTCTCACTTGAGGAAGAGCAGATTTGAAAAACAAACAGTTCAAGGGAAGTTTTACTCTAAGTACTCCTTGCCATTTGTCATTTTCTAAGTCTGGAAAAGCTGAGCAAAAGTCCTTACTTCATTCTCTTCCCTTACAGACAGCAGTCGAGAGGTGGTGATCTCTAGCCAAGAGGGAGAACCGTACCCCATTGGTTTGAACCAGCTGTTCCCAAGCCCTATTCTAGCCCTTCAAGATGGTCCACTGCCTGATTTTGTAGCATTCAAACATGCAAAGGTGGAAGGATGGCTACCAGAGCTGGGCAAGAACAAGCCAACTCTGCCACAAGTCCCAGTAGTTGAACCCTGACATCATCTACCAGCAGATGGGGAAATGGGGAACAGTTGAAGGAAAGAAAGACGCCTGGCTCCTCAGGTTCCCAAATTTCTGACCACAGGAGCCACAAAGAGGAGTGATCCTGTCCATTGCAAGTAGGGCTTCCTGTAGCTCAGTGTTTCCTTCCTTCTTGTAGCTCCTCTTTCCTTCTTTATTTCCCCAAACAGAATGGGTGAAGGTCTGGGAAGCTGATCAAACAGAAACCCAGGAAGCTGTGCTCATGGTCACTTCTGGAAAAACACATAGGAAGCTTTCCACAAAATTGTGGAGTATCTCCACACTGCTTTGAAAAGGTGAGTACCTCAACAAAACCTCCCACTTGCATAACCTCCACCTCCTACTACTCATTTACTTCACCAAAAAGGTACCAGGAATAATAAGAATAGACTTATTACGAAGACTAGAGCATCAGTTTACAAGCTGTAAGGCAAACCAATTCCAAATCATAAGTATCCAGGTACAGACAAAAAGATTAGTAGTGGTGGTAAATACCAAGAACAAAGAAAAATATTCAATCTGGAAAGAAAAAAAAAAACAACAAAACAATAGTTTGGGAACAAATAGCCTTACACACACTCTTGAAAAGGCCACAGCAAAAGAAGCATCATGAGCCTAGACAACCCCTCTGTATGCTATCCTAATACAAATAATGACAAACTAATATAAATGTCTTAATTTTAATTTATATAGATACCACCAGACTAAATTAAATGCCAGAAGGACCCTGTGGATAAAGAAGAAAAGCAGAGATATCAAACCTATAACCAGAAAAAACCCAAAAGTTCTTACTCTGATGTTGGTCTCTCTTCTGAGAATCAGAAGTGTTGAATCACCAGAAGCCCTCAGTTATTTATATAGAAATAATTTAAATTCTCAAATCTATGTTGTGTTGGACAAACAATTTGGGATTTTATTTGGGATTCATTATCAACTATCAAAACATATACCTTGATAATAATTTTGACTTAGAAGGGACTCTAAGTATCCTGTTTTCTCAAACTGGAGCAAACTGGTATCACTGCTACCATGATGAGCTACAGCTCTGCTATCTGCTTCACCTCACTCAAAAATTTAAACTGCATAAATCAAAACAGAAAACGAAGAGAACAATTACATCTCAACAAAGCTACAGGGGGGAGAAGGAGGAAATAAACGAAATTTTACCTGATTGCTCCACAAATTAAGAAGGGGAGGATCAAAAATTAAATCCAACTCCAAAACAAGACCACCCCTCTGGCTTAAGCGTGACCTAATACCTTAACTCTGCTCCCACTGAAGTCATTAAAATGTGAATACAAGTAATCCCTAAAACCAGAAACATTATTCTTATACCAAAAATTCAGTGCAAAACTTACAGAATTTGTACATTGTTGACAAATTAAACACTAGGCAGCTTAAAAAAAAATATGACTGTAACAGAACTGATGCAACTCCAGGTGGTTATTTTATAAAATGCAGTGTTTTTTTCTGCTGAAATATAAAATAGCACGTAATAAAGTGACAGAACTGAAGCATTCTGAAAGGACTTTTGTCCTTACAGGTCTAATGCTGTCCATAATCAAATAATTTAAAGAAATGGGCACAAAATCATTTTGATATGAAGACCCCGAGTTTTTATGAAGGAAAAAGGACAAGGCAAAATGAAACGTGAGCGTGTGCTGGTCACATTTATAGGGCACGACATGGAAAATCTGATCTGAAACACATCTGACCTGTGGCAGCTCTCCAGAGCTACGGAGTTTTACACGGTCAGTGTAAGAACAATACGAACAGCCCACGCTCATCCTTAGATGCAGCCTAACCCTTCTCAAATTCATTTTTAAACTGAAATTGAAAACAGAAGTGAGCACAAAGCTATTTTTGGAAAAAAAAAAATGAGACTGTTAAAGGCACATTAATGATATTATCAACTAATTAAGACCACATTCCCTCACAATAATAATTAACACACGAGTAATACAAGGACATACTACGCCCCATACATCCAACCACCACAAAACAAACCCGCAGGACTACAATAATTGTTCTGTAAACAGAAAAAGTGATCAAGACTTTCAAATTTGAATTTCCTGTCAACGCAGTAATCATCATTCAAAACCAAACCCATTCATTAGCTGAAATACCATTACTCTGCAGTTTAAAAAGCGGAGTATAGTTAATTAGTTTCACAAACGCAAAATTAATTTCCTTAAATTAGTTGGTGCAAAGAAATTGCACGTGCACACAAACACTCACACTAAAATAACTCTCTCCACTACCTGTTTTTTTTTAGGCTAAGGCTGAAAATATATTTTTTTAAGTTGAATTCACTTTCTTTAGGGAAAAGAAACCCATAATCTTGCTATACTACGCTTATGATTCCTATCAACCCTTGATTTTCAACTTTATTAGGCTAAGGCTGAAAATATTTTTTTTAAGTTGAATTCACTTTCTTTAGGGAAAATAAACCCATAATTTTGCTTTCCTAAGATTATAATTTCCATCAATTCTCGATTTTCAACTTTATTCAGTGGATTACAATGAGGCTTGTGTAACTTTTTTTCTACCAAGTTATGTAGCTACCACCCCATGAACAGTTAACGATGGTACTATTGAGATTACAACTGCTCTAGAAACATCCACAGATCCAAAAACTACTTGGAACATTTTGCAAGTACATATATAGAGAGATGGAAACAATTCTATAATTATCCACAAAATGTCAAATTCGACATCAAACACTATGGAACGTTTTTTTTCCTTTCAAACTTTGCTCATATCCCCAACTTGATTCACTTTTCAAATAAAAACTGTTCTCCAAAGCCATTCATTAACAGATGGCTACTTAAGAACCTTAGTTGGTTATTAATACATGAGAAGAGATCGTGTAACAGTTGTTAAAGCATTAAAATATTTGTAAATGCCCTAAGAACAAAGCTTGAATTACTCATTCTTTTCTAATTCTCACCCTGGACGTTCACACTGATACATAACAATTCTGATTGTCTAAGCCACAGAATGGAGACGAGTTAACAGCAATTAAATATATTAAATCTTTCATGCAAAATAAAAATAAAAATAAATTAATCAGTGAAACAGCTTTGGTAACCTAGTAAATAGTTAGCTTTGTGTAAATATTTTGCAAACATCCCTTCCCTCAAAAAAAAAATCCCTATACACCATGTGTATATTTATATAATAATATACATATTTCCTGAGTAAATCGTTAAATCTGATTATTCGGAAGATTTGGCAAAATATCCAACTTTATATTACTAAAATAGAATTGTAAATAAACATTTGATAAACACATTAAAATAAATATGGAATGTTTCTGAAAATTATAGTGCCATAAACTTACATTAATAACAAACAATAATTTTTTAGTTAAGTGCATACTATGTTATATAGTTACTGTTTTTTCACCTGCTGAGGAATCAATAAATCTAATTCCTAATCCTGAGTGACAATTTTCAATCACTTGCTAACGTGTAATTCAATGCAGTACTTGCTGCAAATCTATAAAATCCTGGGTTTTTTTCATTTTAAATGGAAAATTTTAAATGGACTATGCTATAGAAAAGCTCAGTTTATATTGGTTTAGCCAGAAACTGAATTGGCAGCACAACTGCTGAAGCATTTCACACATTCACCATTAAATACTGATTATTCTTGTCAAACTGAGCCATAACCTGAATGACCTGACTTCCTGTCACAAAAACCATCCAGGAGTGTGGATTGCTCTGTACAGAGTGACAGGCTGCAAAATACTCAGTGAACACTTTGGCACTTAAAAGAACTATCTAATGGTGAAAAAAAAAATAATCCTGAACAATTATTAAATCCTCTTCAAATATGCTAAATTACATCATTAAAAAATAAAAAGAATAATTAAATTCTACCACAGCCTGGTTTCTCAGGTCATGGCTTGACTCACAGCAGATACGTAGCTTTGGGTAAGCACACAAGGAGATGCTCAGCTATCGTTTAGTTCCCCTTAATAATAAAATTCTTACGTAGCAGACATTGCAACACCAGCAATATTAAAATTGCACTAACACTATTACAGGATGTGTCTCTCAACATCAGAATCACAGTAATTGAATTGCAGCACTGAGCAGTTATGTGAATCCTTTTGCTTTTTGATAACCTATCAAAAAACACCTTCATGGCACTATGGATGACACCTTGTCCATCCCTCCCCATCCTAACCCTTCTGCCTCCCTTTTGTTGTTGTTATTAATTATTATTATTATTATTATTATTTGCTATTATTCCAGAATCCTCATGGGTTCCTCGGATTTTTCTTTTTTGCTTCCTTTGTTTCCATGTTCAACGCTGATTTTTTCTTGTGTGCTTGTGTCTGGAGGACAAAGCTCTTGCCATGTCCTTTCAACAACTTCTTGTTTTACTAGACCACTTGAAGAGGTTTTGGGCAAAGTCATCTGGAACGCGCACCATAGAGCGGTACGAGTCTTACGTGTGGAAGCAGCCAACTCTCTAATGGCAGCTGCTAGAGCCAGAACATCTACAACAGAAAAAAACACGTTAATTAAATTAGTGTACAAGCCTGGTAATACTAATATATTAAAATATTCTGATAATTTGTTCAACCTGTCACTCAAATTGTGCTCAAGAAACAATTAATATGTTGTACCCTGGTACTGCATGGGTTGAATTCCATCAGTTAATGTTCTTCTTTTGCAAACGACAGCTAGAATCATAGAATGGTTTGGATTGGAAGGGACCTTAAAGATCATCCAGTCCCAACCCCCCTGCCATCAGCAGGGACACCTTCCACTAGACCAGGTTGCTCA